CACTTATCAACATTTTACCAATCTTAGTGAATCTATCCTTCCTCACTTTTTTTCTTTTCTTTTTCCTGGCGTATTTTAAAGTACATCCCAGATCTCATATTATTTCAACAGCAAATGCTTCTGCACATGACTCTAAAAGATCAGGATGTTTTTTAACCCAGCTCCACCACTGTTATCACACCTAACAAAATCGACAGTAATTCCTCAGTAGCTTCTAGTCCCCAGTCCTGTTCAGATGTCCCCAGCTGTCCAGGCACCCTCTTCAAGGCCCCTTCATGTTCCACAGTGGGAAGGGCCCCCAGGAGCCAGGCAGCCAGGGCAGGCTGATCGGAGGGGGAGGCTTTGGCCAGGGCGGGGGTGGGGTGCAGGTCCTCACGAGCTCCTGTTTGGTCTGTTTCAGGAACAAATGTGGTATCTGGGGATGGCGGTCTGAGAAGATGGAAACTGTTAGCGGCTACGAGGCCAAGGCAGGAGAGGCTAGTGGTGGGGGGCTGGGGGCAGGAGATGAGGCCCAGGAACTCAGCTCCTTCTGCACATCCACCCCAGAGTATGGAGGGAGAGACGAGTAGCCCTTGGGCCCTGGAAACCCTGAGCAATGGGGGGAATCGATGGCCCAAGTACCCTGCTGAGTATATGGGGACCACCCACAGCACGGCCCCACCCAGGGAACCCGGATCAAATGAGGAGCATTTTGCCCTGGACCCTGTGGCTATCTCCTTACTGGTGACTCCCTGGGGTTCAGACCCTGCCACCTCCTCCATCGTGGGGAGCAAGATCTCGTCTGTCTCTGGGGACAGGAGGACTTGGGTCCTGTGCTGGTAAGGCTGAGCGTGGGAACAGGCTCTGAGCCCCCAGCTCCCCATGTCCCCCCACACCCCCAGGTATACAGTGCCACCAACGTGGAGCTGGTGACACGCACGCGCACGGAGCACCTCTCTGATCAGGACAAGTCGAGGAGCAAAGGTAAACCCAGGTGCGCCTGCCTGCTGCCCGGTCATACTATGTGGTGGGGTCGCCCTCGTCTGGGGTCAGGGGCCAGAGATTCCCTGGACAAGCTGGGAGGGCTCACCGTTCTCATCTGTCCCCTCTCCCACCTACGGGAGCTTCCCTGGGCAGAGGGCCAGTGGAGCGGTCTGGGGCAGCAGGGCATGGCCCCACGTGCCCTCATGGGCTCCACCCTCCTCCCAGGCGGGAAGACGCCACTGCAGTCCTTCCTGGGGATGGCCCAGCAGCACTCCTCCCACGGCGGGGTGAGCCGGGGCCAGCCTGGGGGGCGGGGTGAGCCTGGGGGCAGGGTGAGCCTGGGGGGCGGGGTGAGCCTGGGGGGCGGGGTGAGCCTGGGGGGGCGGGGTGAACTGGGGCCAGCCTGGGGGCGGGGTGCCGTCTGGTCCGGAGTGCTAAGTCTGGTCCTGGGGGCGCCCAGGCCCCTGTGCAGCAGGCAGCCAGCCCCAACAACCCCACAGCCATCTCCTCTGACGAATACTTTGACCCCAACTTCAGCCTGGAGTCGAGGAACATTGGCCGCCCCATTGAGATGTCCAGCAAAGTACAGAGGTGAGGGGGCTGGCTGGGGACTTGCCTCAGGGACGGGGACCCCGCCTGGACCCCCTGGGCCCTGGTCGACTCCTGTCACACACAGCGCCGACAACGTAGTGAGGGACCTGCTCACTCAGCTGGCTGCTCCTTGGACTCCACCCCCTGAGGCAGGAGCCACATCTGTCTCATCCGTGGTCCAAGGCACCCGGCAGGGGGTTGGCCCACAGAACTGGCCCCAAGTCTCTGATGCATGAATGAGTGGGTGGCCCCACCCACATGCGGTTTTCTATTGAATTTCATGAACACCTGCTGGGGTGTTCATAGGGCCCATGGGACAGGCCCACAGCACCGCTGCCTCCTGCTGTGTGGCCCGAAGACACGCCTTCCCCCAAGGTCTGGTTTCCTCCTCTGTGAAACAAGAACAGTCCCACTTGCCCGCCTGCCTCACGAGGCCCTGACGAGCCATCGTGAGCCGTAACAGCACACAGAGGCCTGCGACAGGCCAGGCGCCCCAGGGCTACCCCATGTGGATTCTCTCAGCCACCCAGTGGTGGGGCTGGGATTCGGACCCTAGCAGGCCCTGGGTTGTGCTGGACAGGAAAGTGCAGCAACACGTGGGGTGGTGACCAGCTCTGGGCTGAGGAGGAGGACGGGTCTGTGGCCCAGGCTCAAAGAGAAGCCCACAGCCTGGCCCCTGCCCTCCTCATCCAGACCGGATGTGCAGACACAAAACCATAACAAGCCCCAGTCTGGGCCCAGGGTCCAGGGACAGCTTGGGCCATAGGGACAGGACACCAGCTCCTGGGGGAGGCAGGCAGGGGCTGCTGAGCAGAGGAGGGTGCCCCCGGCAGGTGGGAGGGCAAGCAGAGAGCCAGAGAGAGCAGGCCTGGGTGAGAGGGCCGCCCGCAGTTCCTTGGCCCACGCCCTGTGGTTGGCCGGCAGGTTCAAGGCAACACTGTGGCTGAGTGAGCAGCACCCGCTGTCGCTGGGTGACCAGGTGATGCCCATTATTGACCTGATGGCCATCAGCAATGCCCATTTTGCCAAGCTGCGTGACTTCATCACACTGCGCCTCCCACCCGGCTTCCCTGTCAAGATTGGTGAGAGGAGGGGCCAGGGCATGGAGAACTTGGGGCACGGTGGCCTCCCCTTAGCACGGGCCCCCAGGCAGGGGGCAGACACAGCACTGCAGGGGTGCAGCTGCAGGGGTCTCCGTCTGGGCAGTTCAGGCTTGGCTGTCTCCTCTGTCCTCGCAGAGATTCCCCTTTTCCACGTGCTCAATGCCCGCATCACCTTCAGCAACCTGTGTGGCTGTGACGAGCCCCTGAGCTCCGTGCGGGTGCCGGCCCCCAGCGCTGCCGTCCCAGCTCCAGGTACCCCTTCGGGAGGCAGAGGGAGGCCGCGTGGCTGTCTGGTTGCGGAGATCGGGTTGAGCGTGGCCCCTTTGCCATCTGCCTAGGGAGCCCTTTCCCGTGTGAGGTGGACCCCATGGTGTTTGAGGTGCCCGAGGGGTACAGCGTGCTGGGCGCAGAGCGCAGCGAGCCCCTTCGAGATGAGGACGATGACCTGCTGCAGTTTGCCATCCAGCAGAGCCTGCTCGAGGCAGGCACAGAGGCAGAGCAGGTGGGAATTGTGCAGGGGTAGGCCCTGGCCCCTGCAGCCACTGGGCAAAGGTGACGGCTTGGCACTCTGGCTATTGTAGGTGACTGTCTGGGAAGCCCTGACCAACACCCGGCCTGGTGCCCACCCTCCTCCCCAAGCCATGGTTTACGAGGAGCAGCTTCAGCTGGAGCGGTGAGGCCCTTGAAGGACCTACTGGGTCCCTGTCACAGCTGTACCCTGCCTTGAGCACCCAGCCAGCCCTGGCTGGAGGGGGAGTTGGGTAGCATGGAGGTGCTGGGCCCAGGACCCCATGCCCACTTTAAGGCCACCTCCATCAGTAGTGCTGGCTGCCACCAAAAGTGGCATGAGGGACCAGGGACAGGGCCCTGCCTCATATCTTCTCTCTACCACCCTGTCTTTGTCCTCCAAAGCCACATCCCCAGCCCCTTGGCTTCTGCCCCCAGCCTTGGCGCTCACCGGTCTGCTCTCCCCCCTTGTGCCTTGCCTGCAAGGGCCCTCCAGGAAAGCCTGCGGCTGTCCACGGAGCCTGGGGGCCTGGGAGCCCCTCATGGGACACCCCCAGCCCCCGCCCCCCCAAGCTTTGAGGAGCAGCTTCGCCTGGCCTTGGAGTTGTCCTCACGGGAGCAGGAGGAGCAGGAGCGGAGGGGGCAGCAGGAGGAGGAAGACTTACAGCGGATCCTGCGGCTGTCACTCACAGAACACTGAGTCGCCTGGCCCCCGGGAGGGCTGTCCAGGGCTGCTCCCTCCACCCGCTTTTGTAATTTATTTATTTATAAACTGTCTGCTGCTGAGCTGGGGCCTGGAGCCCCTCATGTGGGCTTGCAGTGGAGACAAGATGGAAATAAAGACACGGTCAGCAGCAGGCTTGCTCTGCTCAATGGGCTGGAGCCGAGGCACACTTTCCAGTGGGGCACTAAGGGGAGACTCTGTGGGCAACGGCCTCAGACCCAGGTGTGGATCCTAGCTGTGCCCCCTGAGCCTCTGTGAGCCTCAGTTTCTTCAGCTGTGAAAGGAGGAGACCACCCCTATCCCCAGGGTGGTTGGGAGGGTGAAAGGAGCCAACTCAAGTCAGGTGCCCTCACCTGAGCACATGCTCCATGAACATCAAGGGCTGCTCCCTGAGCCTTGTCCCACCTACTGGAGACCCAGGTTCATCCATCCTGCCACTCCACCTGGCCTTCCTGGAACCTGGCCCATGCTCCTGTTGGGGAGGGGAAAATGCCCAGCCTCCGACCCTACACACAGCCAGCTGGGAAGGACCCCTACCCGCTGTGGCCCCTGCCCTGACTCCAGCATGTTCTATCAGATTAACTTTGGGCAGGTCACTTCCCTCCTGTGCAGCTGTGAATCAGGCTCAGCCCTGCCCTGCTCACTCCTAAGGGGTACCTGAGAATCCCTGGTGAGCTTCCCTGGTTATTTCTAAATCCCGGCCCGATTTTCCCTGAAGCTCTGTGTGTCTCCCAGTGGCTCAAGCAGACGGTGGAAGCACGAGGCCAACCAGCAAGGAGTAATAAGTTTGGGGTGAGGGCCCCCTGGCTTAAGATCCACTGTGGTTGATACTCTCTAAGACTTGTGTCCCCAGCCCCTGCCTCCCTCCGGCAGAGGGCCCACCTCTGCCGAGCAACAGAACAGCCCCAACAGCTCAGGTGATCTACCTGGGCGGGGCGGGGAAGAAGGGGCCGGCCGGAAGGGCCAGCCCAGGAATGAGTGCGGCGGGCGGCTAGGGTGTCTGGGCTCAGCACCTGCGCCCCGCCCCCGGCCTCGCCCCCAGCGCTTGCGGGGCGGGGCGGGCCGAACCACGGAGTCCCGAGGGGCGGGGCCATCCGCTGCGTGCCGGCTCCACCGGCCCCGCTGGGCGGGTGCCTGGCCCTTTAAGGGCCGCCCCCGAGGAGGTGCCAGGCCCTGGTAGCTCCGCTCTCCTTCCTGGTCCTGCGGGGCCGGACTGTCCGTGGGGCTGTGGCAGGGGGCCGTGCCTGTGCCCGCCCAAGTGTCCCCGGCCTGGCCCCATGGCCCTGGTCACAGTGAGCCGCTCGCCCCCGGCCAGCGGCCACTCCACGCCTGTGGGGCCCACGGTGAGTCTGGCTTTGCTGTGGTCCTGCCCACGCATCTGGCTGCCGGCTGGGCCTGGGGGAGCACGCCCTGCCCGCCGGCAGATTCCCCTCAAGCCTGGGTAGTGCGAAGGGGGACCTCAAGTCTTGGGGGGAGGGGGTTGGGGGGATTTTGAGGTTCTCAGGAACTCGGACCAAGTCAAGATCTGGAGCCCTGCGAGCCAGCCCAAGTCTGTGGAGGCCCAAATCTGGGCTGACCCTTCCGCCACCCTCAGCACCCTCCCAGCACCCCCACACCTGGGCTTGGGCTGGGCTCCCCCAGTGACTCCCGGTGGGGAGCAGTGTGAAGAGGATTCGCATCTGACACCTTTTCTGGCCCCTTTCCCCCGACAGTGGGCAAGGTGATCCCCAGGGCCCTCACCCCAGCAGCCCTGAGAGAGGAGAGGAGAGTCCCTGCTCTCACTCTCCCTGGGGGCTGCTTTCTCAGCAGGAGCGGGCGGTGAAGCGGAGAAATCGACTCCAGCGCCGGTGAGCACCTTCCTCCCCAACAGACACTCCAGCCACTGCCGGTCTGGTTTTTCGAACTCCTGACCTCGGGCAATCTGCCCGCCTCGGCCTCCCAGAGAGCTAGGATTACAGGCGTGAGCCACCACACTAGGCCTTCCACTGGCGTTCTGAACTCCAGGTGTCAAGGACAGAAGGCTGCCTACTGATTCTGTGGGTGAAGCTCCGGGTGGGCCCTGCTGCTGGGTTCAGCTTGTGGCAGCAGGGCTGGCCTGACTGCTTTTGCTTTTTACCTCCCCCCAGTCACTTGGGGCTTCTTCACCCACTTCCCTGGACCCTAGCTCAGGCCAGTGGTCACAAGCCAAAGGGCAGGATGGGATGACAGGGCCTGAGGACACCTGGGTCCCTAACCAAGTTTACAGCATCTCCTGAATTAGACAGGTGGGAAGGGAAAGGGAGCGCAGCCCCATCCCCCTCAGACAACAATAGAGGGGCTGGGGCTGGGGGTGCCAAGCTACTTCCCAGAGTGCTGGAAGCATCGCCAGAGAACTGGTTAGAAATGCAGTCTCAGGCCTCCACTCCAGACCTACTGACTCGGGGGATGGGGCTCAACAGTCCATTTCAACAGGCCCTCCAGGTGACACTGCTAAGGTTTGAGAACCTGCACCCTAAGGGGTGCGAGGGACATAACGATTTCCCCACTGCCCTGCCAGGCAGAGCTTTGCGGTGCTCCGTGGGGCTGTCCTGGGACTGCAAGGCGGAGGGGACGATGGTGGTACAGCTGAGGCCAGCCCAGAGCCAGCAGAGGAACCCCTGGGTGAGGAGCAGCCCCATGGGGACCAGACAGACTACGGGCAAGAGCCCCAGAGTCCCCAGAAGCAGGAGCAGAGGCAGCACCTGCATCTCATGGTGGAGTTGCTGAGGCCGCAGGACGACATCCTCCTGGTGAGGGGTCCCATCCAGAGCTCACCAAGAAGGGAGTGGCCTCTGAGAGGGTGGGGGAGAGGGTGGAATGGAGCCAGCATGTGTGTCTGTTTGGGCACCAATGAATGGTGTGAGGGTAGGCACCCTGGGGAGTGTAGGGGTCACCCGAACCCCGAGGACCGTGAAGTTTGAGGTAGAGATGTTTCGACAGGGCCAGGTCATGTCTGCAGGTCTCCGGAGGGCTGAGAGAGAACAGGGAAGGTTTGTTCTGTGTGAGTCAGTAAAGCCCAATCAGGTCCAAGGGTTGGGAATTACACGGAGGCAGGTTTCTGTTAAACCGGCAGGACTTTTCTGATAATGTGAGTTGTCCCTAAGTGGACCAGAGCACAGGGAGGGCTTGCTGATCACCCACTGGGGGCCCAGGCAGAGGGAATGAGGACTCCAGCATCCACATAGGATGGGAGTACAGGTGGGAGCCCGAGGACTGCTTCCCAAATGCCATGGAGAGAACTGACTGTGGCCAGAGAGGAAGAACAAGATGAAGCGAGTCTTCCGTAAAGCTGAATTTAGAACAGAAGCACCGAACTCCGTTGTAATATTATGTCCTTAATATTTCTTTGGTGATAAACATTTGAGTGAAATGATGGTAATAGCAAGTGATAGTTTTTACTTTCTTTCTTTTTTTTTTCTGAAACAGAGTCTCACTCTGTTGCCCTGGTTAGAATGCCGTGGCATCAGCCTTGCTCACAGCAGCCCCAAATTCCTGGGCTCAAGCGATCCTCTGCCTCAGCCTCCCAAGTAGCTGGGACTACAGGCATGCGTCACCATACCCGGCTAATTTTTTCTATATGTTTCTAGTTGGCCAAATAATTTCTTCCTATTTTTAGTAGGAACAGGGTCTCGCTCTTGCTCAGGCTGGTCTCAAACTCCTGACCTTGAGCGATTCTCCTGCCTCGGCCTCCCAGAGTGCTGGGATTACAGGGTAAGCCACCACGCCTGGCCAAGTGATAAGAGTTTTTAAAAGACCCTCCTTCCTAGGCAAAAACAAAAAATAGGCAACCTATGTCAGTCCCATGCCCCTCTTTTAAGAAAGATCTTTTTGAACATTTTGTTGGACCATGAATCCTAAAGTTGGGAAGCATGGGAGTGTACCACTGATCCTGGATCTGGAAAGAGGGGGTGGGAAGGGAGGGAGCAGGGGCAGGGCTGTGCTGGGCCTGGGGTGTCCAGGTGGAGTTGGGGAAAGCAAGGTCCTTGGGCCACTGTGACTCTGGGCACATCTTCCCCAGGCAGCCCAGTTGGAGGCAGCTCGGCCACCCCGGCTCCGCTACCTGCTGGTAGTTTCCACACGAGAGCACCCGGGCCAGGATGAGACCGTCCTCCTGGGGGTGGACTTCCCTGACAGCAGGTGGGAACAGGGAGAAGAAGGGAGGGAGCAAGGAATTGAGGTGCTGGGGGACAATGGCTTTCCTTTTGTCCCCTGCCAGCTCCCCCAGCTGTACCCTGGGCCTGGTCTTGCCCCTCTGGAGTGATACCCAGGTGTACTTAGATGGAGATGGGTAAGAAATGGCAACTGGAGAAGGGAGGGAGAAGGAGGGGCCAGGTGGGTGGAATGCCAAGTGTGACAGATGTGACTCAGGGGCCAGGCACTAGGGACACAATTCTAGGCTGGGAGTCTGGGGCCTGGGGCCTGCTCTCAGCTGCACCTCAGATTTGCTGTGTGGTCCTGGGCAAGTCACCTAACTTCTCTGGGCCTGGACCTCCCACATTTGGCAATCGGGCAGGCTGCCTGTCCCAGAGCCTGGAGTGTGGTTCCACCCAACCTGGTCTCCTGCAGGGGCTTCAGCGTGACATCTGGTGGGCAGAGCCGAATTTTCAAGCCCATCTCCATCCAAACCATGTGGTAAGAGCTCGCTGGGAGTCTCCTCTGGAGGTGGGTGCAGGGCCTGGGCAAGGGCAGCAGGGAAGACAGGATGACCAGCCTCTCCTCCTGTCCCAGGGCCACGCTCCAAGTGTTGCACCAGGCATGTGAGGCAGCTCTAGGCAGTGGCCTTGTACCCAGTGGGAGTGCGCTCACCTGGGCCAGCTACTACCAGGACAGACTGAACTCTGACCAGAGCTGCCTCAATGAGTGGACGGCCATGGCTGACCTGGAGTCTCTGCGGCCTCCCAGCACTGAACCTGGGCGGTCAGTGAAGGGAGGGGAGAGCCTGGGGGCAGGGGGAGGGCAGGAAAAGGCAGAGGGGTGCCGTGGCAGAGAGGAAAGGGCCCCTTGACTGAGGGATGTGCTCCCAGGCCCTCGGAACAGGAGCAGATGGAGCAGGCGATCCGGGCCGAGCTGTGGGAAGTGCTGGACACCAGCGACCTGGAGAGCGTCACTTCCAAAGAGGTGGGCCTGGTGCTGAGGGGCCGGGGCCCCTCCTCCAGGCCTGAGCCATTCCCCACGCCTTGGCCTCGGCCCCAGTCTGTGTAGATGGGACAGGGAGCCATCCTAAGGGGCCCAGCGGGAAGGTGGGAGGTTAGGAACCTGGGGAGCCCCATGAGCCTCTCCTCCCCTTGGGCTCTGCCCACAGATCCGCCAGGCCCTGGAGCTGCGCCTGGGGTGTCCCCTCCAGCAGTACCGAGACTTCATCGACAACCAGATGCTGCTGCTCATGGCGCAGCAAGACCGCGCCTCCCGCATCTTCCCGCACCTCTACCTGGTGAGCTGCAGGCCGAGCAGGGGGCTGTGTGGACGTTACAGCTGGGGGGAGAGGCTGAGTGGGGGGCCAAGAGGCAGGGAGGGAGGGAGAACGGTGCTTCCCTCTCCACAGGGCTCAGAGTGGAACGCGGCCAACCTGGAGGAGCTGCAGAGAAACAGGTAGCAGTGAGGGCCCCTGGGTCGCCCCTGGGGATGTCACCCTTGCGTGGGCTCTCAGGCCAGGCCAGGCCAGTAACCCTGCTGCCCCACTGGCCAGGCCTCTGCCCACTCTTCCGCCCGCCCGCCCAAGTGTGGAAACGGTCTGACCATGGCGTGAGGAGCAGCATCAGGGCCCACTGCTGGGACTGCCTTTTCCAAGCAGAGAAAGGCTCTCTCCACCTAGTCCTGTCTTGGGAGAAGGAACTGCTCTTCTCCCAGTGAGGACCTGACTTCCTGCTGTGATAGGTTCCTGTCATTTGCACACCATGGGCTTCTGGGAGACCTGCCATAGTCAGTCCCTGTCACCCCAATGCTGCAGATCCACCCACTTTCACCTTAGTACAAAAACCGTTCTCTAACTAGTTTCTGAGAGTAATGGAAGGGTCCTGCTGCAGTTGCCCTCAGCTCTCTGGGTGAGGTGGGAAACTCAAGCCTAGCAAGGTAGAGAGGTGTACTCAAGGTCACAGTCGTCTGACAGCTGGGTCAGTTCTCTTCCCACCATAACTGCTGCCTCCACCTGACTGGAAACTAAGCACCAAACAGAGAGGCCCAGGGGCTGCCGGGCCCGAAGGCCAATGGGCATGCTGCCCCTGCCCACATCAGCCTGGCCTTGGGCCTTCTGGGACAGGGTCAGCCACATCTTGAACATGGCCCGGGAGATTGACAACTTCTACCCAGAGCGCTTCACCTACCACAATGTGCGCCTCTGGGATGAGGAATCAGCCCAGCTGCTGCCCCACTGGAAGGAGACTCACCGCTTCATCGAAGCTGCCAGGTCAGGCTCCGCCCGGCTCCTGCTGCCCGCCCAGTCCTGCGGGCACCCTGGCCCCACCCCCCGACTTGGCTCTGCTGCCCACTCTGCCGTCAGCTCTGTGACCCTCCCAGCCCACAGTGTCTGTACTTCCTGTCCCCCTGCTCTTGGTCATAAGCCCCTCACTTATGTGAGGGAGGGGTGGGGAGCTGAGCACGTCCCGCCTCCACAGGGCGCAGGGCACCCGGGTGCTAGTCCACTGCAAGATGGGCGTCAGCCGCTCGGCTGCCACAGTGCTGGCCTACGCCATGAAGCAGTACGGCTGGAGCCTGGAGCAGGCACTGCACCACGTGCAGGAGCTGCGGCCCATCGCCCGCCCCAACCCTGGCTTCCTGCGCCAGCTGCAGACCTACCAGGGCATCCTGACTGCCAGGTACGGAGCGTGGAGGAAGCAGGAGGGGGAAGGGTGTGTGTATGCTGTGGGCAGCTGCTGGGTCACTCAAAGCTGACTCAGGGCCACCTCCTCACAGCCGCCAGAGCCACATCTGGGAGCAGAAAGTGGGTAGGGTCTCCCCAGAGGAGCCCCTGACCCCCGAAGTCTCTACACAATCCCCACCTCTTCCGCCAGAACCGGGGGGCGGTGGGGAGGTGAAGGCCGTGGGCTTGGAGAAGAGCCAGGCAGCCCCGAAAGAAGAGTCTGGGCCAAGGCCCCGCATCAACCTCCGAGGGGTCATGAGGTCCATCAGTCTCCTGGAGCCCTCCCCGGAGCTGGAGAGTGTCTCAGAGGCTGGTGACCTGCCAGAGGTGAGGCTGGGGCTGGGGGAGGTTTGTATGCTGTGGCAGGGAGAGTAAGGAGGGAGGAGGGGGAGAGGCCAGGACTGGCGCTTGGCTTTAGGCCCTGAGTAAAGGGATACCTGGGTTCGGTCTGAGCCCCCATGCGAGGTCTCCTGAGAGGTCAGGCCCCTGGGGGTGTGGTCCATGCCTCTTCCACAGTCTGCTCGATATCTCTCAGCAAAGGGAGCACCTTACCAGGCTGGGAGCTCCACAGCCTACTGGCAAGGGTTTCTGCCGTCGGTGGGGTAGGTGAGATGATCTCTGAGCCCCTCCCTGACCTGAGGAGCAGCAGGCAAAGGATGCGGGGCTGGGGTGGGTCTCAGCACTCACACTGCCCAAGTGCTGACTGAGTAAGTGAGCACCCTCCGCGCTAAGTGCTGCAGGCCACAAGTCTAAGGCCCGAAGCTGGCCCCTGCCTTAAGAAGCCAGACTCCAGGCCAAAGGTGGGACATTTGAAGCAGCTTCCTGGGGCAGCATTGGGTGTGGAAGGACAGGGAGGCGTGGAGGGTTGATGGATGGCTATGGGTGTTGACAAGGCAGAGGGGTCCTCATGCAGCAGCTGGACACGTGCGTGCGCACAGCCCAGTTCAGGGGCTGGCACCAGGTGTTTCCGCTGTGGCTCACTGGGCAGGCCACACAAAGGCAGAGGGGGAGAAGGAGCAGGGGGCCAGAGGGGCCCAGGCCTGCAGCAAGTGGCAGGTGCAGGAGAACTGAAGAGGGCTTCTGGGGGGCAGAGGGAAGCCAGGCAGGTAGGGGTCAAGGAGCAGGGGCAGTGGAGCTGGAGCACCGTCTTCCCTTCCCAGGCAGTGTGGCCTGCGAGAGCTGAGTTTTCCTGTGTGCATTCCACACTCTGCACCTGCCCTTTTCCTGGATCTGCCCTGGAAGACTCCTGCACAGCTCTTCTTCCTTTTACGTTCGCCCATGCAGGTTTTCTCTTCCCGGGAGTCTTCAGATGAAGAGCCTCCGCAGCCCTTCCCTCAGCTCTCAAGGGCCAAGAGAGGCCAGCAGCTTTGCCAGGGGACTTGGCCTGCCCTGAAGTCCCGCCAGTCTGTGGTTGCCCTCCAGAGCGCTGCCCTGGTGGCCAGCCGGACCCGAGCCTTCCAGCAGCTGGGGCAGGAGCAGGGGCAGGGGCAAGGAGAAGCTGGTGTTCCCTCCACACCCAGGCTCCGGAAGGTGGTGAGGCAGGTCAGCGTGGATGACAGCAGAGAGGGGGGCGAGGCCTGAGCTCTCACACACTCATGTCCCCCTAGACACTAAATGCAGGATCCACAGCTCCTCGGAGGAACACCCTCACCCCTGTCGCCCATACACACTGCTCCTAGCTCTTCCCCAGGAGCCCCCACACCTGTCACTACAGCTTCACCTCCTACAGCCTTAAGTCTCAGACCCACGTCCACCTGTCCAAGGGCTCAAGACTTTATAATTGGGATGTGGTAGAGACTGAAGGTGCCTTTGGGGGCGCTAGCACCCTACTTCCGTTTTCAACTCTTTCCCTAAGATACTCACCTGTAGCCAGGGAATAAAAACAGCTGCCCAGTGGGGAAAGGCTCTCGCCTCCTCCCTCCTCGCAACTCCTCACTTCACTCCTGGAGCCAGCCAGGCCAGAGGCGGACGGGAACCTCAGTCCCCAGCCCTGGGTGGCCTGAGGAGGCTGGCAGGCCACCTCCTGCACCCACCTCACAACTGGCCGGAGTCTTCTGCCACTACCCAGCGCTTCCACAACACTGCACTGGGTTACGGCCAAAGAGAATCGTCTTTCTGTACTTCGTGGCCTCTGGCCGGTTTTTCATAGTCTTAATAGTATCTGGCTTTGTACTGAGAAATAAAAAACATTTTCTTATCATTTTCAATTTTATGATAAAGCCATCTGTTTTTCCATCAGATCTTTCTCTGTTTATGTGAGGAGTTTGGTCTTTCCTCATTCCTGACATTTTCTTCACAATTCCCAAGTGTCTCTGACAGACCTGTTTGGGGGAGTGGACTTTTTGGGGGTAGGGTGGGAGGAAGAATGGGGAAGACCAGGGGAGGCCAGTGCTATCTCCTTCATCTCCTAGGGCTGGGCCTGGGTAAACGGCAGCTGCCCACACCCCCTCAGGAGGGGCGGGCAGAGAAGCAAGTCCACACCAGGCAGTAGGCGGGTGGCTCTGCTGGGACAGCTGAAGGGAGTTGCCCAAGAGGAAGTGAAAACTGCTGCCCTAGATAAGACCAAGCCTGTTCCAGAAGCTAAGACTCCTTTTAGACACTTGGTGCTAGTTCTTGAGCATATCTTTGGTCCTAAGAATCCTGCTATAATGCAAGAGAGCCCAAGTTTCCAAGCCAGCCTTCGCTGCCTGGGAAGAAGTACCCTTAACCCTTCCTTTCCTGCCCAGGGGTTCCTTCTGCTCAGCTTTGGTGTTCAAGAAGAGTTAGTGGTTCCATCATTGTCACTGCTATCCCCTCTTCCCAAAGTCATTCTCTCTGCCCTATGACACACTACACTGCTTTGAGGGAAGAGGTGGTACCCAACTCCTTCCCTCAAAGCAGGCCTCAGAGGTAGGAGCCAGCACCAGGCATCCTCATTTGAGATTTCATGCCCAGTTGTAAGAATGAATCTCAGACAGACCCTAGTGGGACTCCCAAGCACTGCTCTAACCCTAAAGTGTTGAGGGGCAGGAGACTTGGGTTCTAGCCATGACTTCACCACTTATAAGTTACTTCAGGTGGGGCGTGGTGGCTCACGCCTGTAATCCTAGCACTCTGGGAGGCCGAGGCGGGAGGATTGCTCGAGGTCAGGAGTTCAAAACCAGCCTGAGCAAGAGTGAGACCCCGTCTCTACTATAAATAGAAAGAAATTAATTGGCCAACTAATATATATAGAAAAAAATTAGCCAGGCATGGTGGCGCATGCCTGTAGTCCCAGCTACTTGGGAGGCTGAGGCAGGAGGATCGCTTGAGCCCAGGAGTTTGAGGTTGCTGTGAGCTAGGCTGACACCAGGGCACTCACTCTAGCCTGGGCAACAAAGTAAGACTCTCTCTCTCTCAAAAAAAAAAAAGTTACTTCACCTTGAATCTCTTTTTGTAAAACAAAAGCATCAGACCAGGAAATCCTTAACTATCCCTCCTCACTTTGATATATCTTTTAACAATACATGTCATCTATACATTGCTGGAATTCAGCCTCTACATATTTTCCACAAGAGGAATTATTTGCACCTATCTGGCATGCCTAGGGTCACAAGGTGGGTGGGATATAGGGAATCTAGTTCTGATTCCTTATCCACCCTGAGCAAACACTGAGGGCTGCACCCCAGGCTGCACTCCTGCAGCCAACCAGGAGTCTCACCTAGACTGTCCTTTCAGTAGTCCTAGGCTAGGGCTGGGAGTGACAGTGTCAGGAGGGAAGCCAAGGCCAAGTCCTGCCTTGCCCTCCTGCAGCCCATGCAGCTTGAAAGGCAGGGTCCGATCATGAACTCAGAATTTAAGGCCAACTAGAATTCAGGAGGACTCTGAGGTTAGAATTCAGCAAGCAGGGAAACAAAGACTGGAGAGGAAACTATAGTGGCTCACGCCTATAATCCTAGCACTTTAGGAGGCTGAGGCTGGAGGATCACTTGAGGCCAGAAGTTCAAGACCAACCTGAGCAACATTGTGAGGCCTCATCTTTACAAAAATAAAATAGAAAAATTAGCCAGGTATGGTGGGTGGTACACACCTGTAGTCCCAGCTACTCGAGAGGCTGAGGCAGGAGGATCGCTTGAGCCTAGGAGTCTGAGATTGCACTCCAACCTGGGCAACAGTGAGACCTTGTCTCTAAAAAAGTAAAGATTTGTCTCATTTAAAAAATAACGACAGGCCAGGCGCAGTGGGTCATGCCTATAATCCTAGCACTCTGGGAGGCCAAAGTGGAAGGATCACTCAAGGTCAGGAGTTCCAAACCAGTCTGTGCAAGAGTGAGACCCCATCTCTATAAAAAATAGAAAGAAATTAATCAGACAACTAAAAATATATAGAAAAAATGAGCCGGGCATGGTGGCGCATGCCTGTAGTCCCAGCTACTTGGGAGGCTGAGGCAGAAGGACTGCTTTAGCCCAGGAGTCTGAGGTTGCTATGAGTTAGGCTGATACCATGGCACTCTAGCCTGGGCAAGAGAGTGAGACTCTGTCTCAAAAAGTAAATAACAACATATTTTTCAATGATAGGCTGTCATGACAAATAAATAAATGAATAAAAACCACACACATTCCATTTTATGGAAACCACTATTTATTTAAGGGGTCATTTATTAATGAACTTTTAAGTTGTTTATGGGTTTTTTTTGTTGTTTTGTTTTTTTGAGACAGAGTCTCGCTTTGTTGCCCAGGCTAGAGTGAGTGCCGTTGCATTATATTTTTTTCCCCTGATTCCAAGTAATGCCTCATTAAGTACCCTTGTATATATTTTCTTGTGCAAACATGACCACTAAATCTGTACAACATATTTCTATAATTGCTGAAGGAAAGGCTATGTGCATTTTTTTAATTTCAGCATATTATGGGCGTATAAATGTTAAGGTTACGTATATTGCCCATGCCCCCCTTCCTGTGCATTTTTAATTTTGACAGGCATCACCTAATTTCTTTCCAAGAAGTTGCACCAATTTACAGTGAATGGGAATGCCTATCTTCTTAAAGTGCCATCCAGCCTATGTTAACACCTTGCAACACTCCCAGAGGAAAGGGCAGGCATTAGTTATCTCAGAGAAGTAACTAATGAGTCTCTAACAGAACCTGAATCAGATCCTAGGTTTCTAGATTCTCAGTCCAGAAGCCTAACTCGGGAGTGGAGAAGGTAGTTCCTGGGCAAACTCATTGATTTCACAGTTCTGCCCAAGGCGAGCCCTGGGTCCAGAAGTGCTAGGAACTCCCTGGCAGGGAGGGTCAGGATGACCCCTGCTCCTGGAGTTCCCATTCAACTCCCACGCGATACAGCAGCCTCTTAGCAACGGGAGCGGTCGCCCTGCCCAGACTTGGAACACCAGCTGCGTCGAGGAGCCTGAGTTTCTGGCACAGCCTGTCCATTCTGGGCCGGCTCCCACCGTCAGAACGTTCTCCCACTGTTCTCCTACCCAAGGCTGGGGGGGGAGCGGAACTCGGGCGCCGCCGCTCTCTACCCTAATCAAGGCAGCCCCTCGTTAGGCTAAGTTTTCAAACGGCAAAGTCAAACGTGCTGAAGAGACCGGACTCCGCCCCTTTACCATGCATCCCAGACACCTCAGAGCCTCAGCTGTTCAGAGAAGCTACCTTTCAGCCCTCCGCAGGCTCTCCTACGCGAGCAGCGCGGGGGCCGGGAAACTCGGCTTGCCTAAATCGACTGCGACGTTCGGGCGCCATCTTGCGTCTGTTCCCCTGGCCTCCAGGAACAACATGAAAACCACATTTCCCAGCGTGCCTCGCGCTTCTGCGCAGGCGCAAAGAGCTTCCTCTCGTTTCCATGGGAACCTCGACCCCCAGAGTCCCGGACCGTTGGCTCAGTGGAGCAAGAAAGTGTTGCTTCTTCCTGAGGTGCGCTGGAGCTGGGACAGGGTCTGCAAACGGTTGAGAGGGCAAAGTAGGGGGTTTTAGGGGAGGAAGCCAGGCCGGCCTTGCCTCCTGGGACCAGCGTTTCCAAATTCTCCGGGGCGTCCGGGCGTCCGCGTGCTCCTGAGGCCTCGGCGTTCTGAGGCGAAGGGGCTGAGGGAGGCCCGGGTCCGCAAGGCCAGCGTCCGGCTGTGGCCCGCGCAGCTCCGCTCGGCCTGCCAGGGGCCTGCGCACCGCCCACCGGTACACCTGGGACGTGGGCCAGGCGCTGGCAGCCTCTGGGACGGTTGGTGCCACGGGTGAACGTGGTGGTAGAGCGTCTGGCAGGACAACGAGCGCACCCAGGGCTGGATCTGTCTCTGGCTCTGCCTCTAATGGATTTGGGACCCAGGGTGGCTTCCAGCCCCTGTGAGGTGCAGCTCTCCCTTCTGTAAAATGAGGCTTGGACAGGAATTCTAGTGGCTTTGCAATTCTGTTGCACAGCAGCCCCCGGGTCTGTGTGACCTGGAGCAGCGGTCCCCAACCTTTTTGGCACCAGGGAGCGGTTTCATGGAAGACAATTTTTCCACGGATGGGGCAGGGCAAGGGGAGTGGAGGGAGGCGGAGCTCATGGGGAGGGAGGCGGAGGGATGCGAACAATGGGGAGCAGCTGTGAATACACTGGCCTGCCCGCCGCTCACCTCTTGCTGTGCGCCCCCTCCAAGTTTCACGGAGGACAATTTTTCCACGGACGGGGGTGGGGCGGGCAAGGGGCAGTGGAGCTCTGCGGCCCTGTCCCTAATAGGCTATGGACTGGTACTGGTCCGTGGGGATTGGGGACCGCAGACCCAGAGGACAAGTTCCTTTATGTCTCTGAGCCTGAGTTTCCTTCTCTGTAAAATAAGGTTGAAGCATATGCTCCCTAAGGTCTCTTCTAGCGCTGTGGTATTTTACGTACAGCTGGGTTCATTGCCCCTTATTGCACACCAAGTGAAAGAAGAAAAGGAGCTGGGATGGTTTGAGCAAGAATCTCAGCTTGGGGTCTAGAGTCAGAGAAACTTGAGTTTGTGACTTTGGGCAAAGTTATTACATTTCTCGAGCCTCAGTTTCCTCATTTGCAAAATTAAGGATAGTACCACCTCAGGTTTTTGAGGATTAAATGAGATAATGCATGTAAGTTTTTAGCCCAGAGCCTGCACATAGTAAGTGCCACCAAGTTCCAACTTTCATTTCTGATAATTTTTTAAATATTCCTTAGCCTTTTCCTAATTTCTGAAGTCACTGCCTTTATTTCTGGGTAAATCCATTCTCCAAAGCAGGATAGTTTTATAGGCTGATTTTGATGGTGAAGCCAGTCTTCTTACCCAAGGTTGTATACTCACAGCCAGTGTCTCACCTCCCTTTAGCTGTAGTGTGGATTATATCATTATTGCACAGCATCTACAAGGCTCAGCACCACATGATAGGAAAGATACTCTCCCTTCCTTGAGATTCACAGGATGTGAGCACCTATACGTTATGATGCAGAAACAGCTAGATATTGAACAATAATATATTTACATAAGATTGGATGGACATATGATTATAAAGAATACCCAAGAATTCTATGCTGCTTGCATTGAGTTCAAGCTTTGTGTTAACTGGGAACGTCCTAACAAGGAGTTTTAAGTTAGTGATAAAAATGTATTTGTTATTTTTTTTTAAAAATCTGGGCACTCTCAGTAGTTTCACAAACAAGTCTTCATCCAAAAGCATCTTTATGTGGAAGCTGTATTCCATGAGCATTTTTTGAGCACCTATTATGTACATGGAACTGTGTGGGGTGCTATGAGGGATATGAAGATGTATAAGACAAACTTTGCCCTCAGGAAACATAGAGTCTAGTAGAGAAGATCAATTATGCATATAAAACACATGTAATTTAAGTAGAAAGTGATGTGTCAGAAGAGAGGTCCAGGCCGGGCGCTGTGGCTCACGCCTGTAATCCTAGCTCTTGGGAGGCCGAGGCGGGCGGATTGCTCAAGGTCAGGAGTTCAAAACCAGCCTGAGCAAGAGCGAGACCCCGTCTCTACTATAAATAGAAAGAAATTAATTGGCCAACTGATATATATATAAAAAAAAAAAATTAGCCGGGCATGGTGGCGCATGCCTGTAGTCCCAGCTACTCGGGAGGCTGAGGCAGGAGGATCGCTTGAGCCCAGGAGTTTGAGGTTGCTGTGAGCTAGGCTAACGCCACGGCACTCACTCTAGCCTGGTCAACAAAGTGAGACTCTGTCTCAAAAAAAAAGAAGAGAGGTCCAGGTAACTGTGCTATGAAGATTCAGAGGCAGGAGAGACCACTACTGAGTCACCATATAATGCGAGAAGCAAGGAGAAGACACCATTTGAACCTCCTAAAGCATGTGGGAAATGTGGCTATGCCAAGAAGTAGGGAAAAGATGTTCTGGACACCCTTTCCACAGCCTTGAGATACGTGAAGAAGAAGTGTCTGTAGCCCTGATTAGATGCTGAGCTCCTAGATGACAGGGACTGGGTTTTGGTCAGTGTTTTCCTTCCCTACTTGGCACCTGGTTGGCCAATATTAGTGAATATTAGTGGAAATACTAGTGAACGAATAGGAGCTATGAGCTTCCTACAAAGAGTAACTGAGCTGTGATCTCTGTATTACCCTGAGATCCTTTTATTAGACTTGGATGCCCTCTTACAGCCACTCTTCTAGGGAAAGAATGTGAATAGGCAGATAATTGTGGTACAAGAGCCATATTGTTGGCATATTTTACATGGTACCAGCCAACTGAGAGTGCCCAATGAACAAGATCTCATAAATGGACAGGAGGGTTTGCAAGCCTCTTTTCCTGGAACTGAGAGGAAAAACCATGAGGGGAGGAAACAGAAGCATAGGATCCGGAGGTAAGTTTGAGGACCAGTAATGGATATTCTTTTGGCTCTTATGTTCATTCTTGGCTCTTTTTTTTCTATGGCCCACTCCTCCCCAGGGACATTGTTTTTCACCTGTGACCCACCTGGGAGTGGGAAACTATGTCTACCATACCAATAGGTTGCCAAGGCATGCATCCACTGCAAAGGACTGAAGCTGGCTTTGGCAGCACCATCTTCAGGCTGACTTCTGGGGCCCTGCCCTTCTCCAGTCCTTCCCAGTGCCAAATCTGTGCCAGGTGCTAGCTCTGAAGTAGACCCTGAGACAGGAGTCTGATGACCCATGGAGGGGAGAATCACCTCAGGACCTGGGATGGAGGTGTCTCTCTTGAAGAGGGCACAAGAGAAGGTTGAAAGGAGAATGGCTTGAGGACAGGGAAAATCATTCTAAGTCCTATGTAACCCATCAAGGGTCTAGATTCCTCCTGGAATCCTCTGTTGCTCAGAGAGTGCAGTCATCCTCAGAACAAGGAAGCTGGGGAGAGGTTAAACAAGTGTAATCAAAGAGGTTTTGGGCACAACTGACTGCCTTTTTTGTCCCTAGATATGGGACAGTACAGGACTTCTGGGAGCCACAAACACCCCTTTTCCTGGAGATGCAACCCAGGGTGACCTATTACACCATCCTGGAAGCTTATGCTTTTATGCCAGAGCCCTGCTTTTCCTCTTCGTCCTGCTCCCCAAGTTGGCTCCCACTCTATGGCTGCAGGTAAGTAAGTGCCTGTGGGGTGCATCAGGAATCTTTGTCGCTGAGTGCTGTGTAAAGCCTTAGTAACTACAGGCCTGGTACTTGAGAGGACGTTATAACAGCTCAGTGCCTAACATATAGGCCTATGTCAGCCTACTTCAGGGGCATTATGGTCCTTTACAAAGCACTGTCACTTATTTGTGATCTCACTTTATCTTAACAGCTGGAAGGTCTTGTATTACAACTTTGATTTTCCATGTTAGGGGTCTGAGTTCTTAGGTTGTAGGTCAAAGACCTAAGTGATGGCACTGAAACCAGTGATCTTTCCACTGCATCTGTTATCACCGAAGGGATGCCATCGGCCTACTGGTGAAGCCATGGTCCTAGACTAACCTGAAAGTCAACCAAGACTCTCCTTCTTTCCCATTCAGCTAGGATTTCCTGCCCATTTTCCTGTTTTCCATCCCAGCCTAGCTTCTCCATGTTGGACACATGGTTGATCAGTCTCTTACTGTCATGTCCTCACTAGATGCTGGCTGTTTTCATGGTAGCAGGTCCCATGAGAGAGATAGTACTCTTCCCCTTGATTCTGCCAGGGTTGCCTTCTCTCAGGTAGGTACCCTGGACAACTGGGATACTAGGGTATTCTGTATCTGGGCTAGAGAACCAGGAATAGGAAAGCTGCTCCCCCACTGGATGAGGAGGGAAGTTAGCAAAAGTTTGCCTGGTAGGATTGGCCTGGGTAGTAATACCACACCCCACCCCATTGGCACCCCTGGTAGCATCTCAGTGAGCCTCAGAGGTAATGGTGGGGAGGTGAGTATGGCAGGGAAAGAAACAAGGTGCAAACCCAGGCTAAGGCAGGGTCCTACATGCTGGCCCAACTCAAGCTAGAGACACTTATGGGGGTGGTGGATGGGTTTGGGTGAATGAAGATGCTCCTAGAGGCTAGGGTGGGGAGAGGGACTGGTTATATGCATCCTACATAATTTATCTTCTTATGGCCTTAGAAGGCTTGCAACTGCGCAGGTTTGCTCAAAACAGCAGCTGCCTGTCTCTGCAGGCAGCACACACTGCTGTGCAGCTCATCTCTTGGTTTGGCAGACTGACTCCCATCTTACGAAGCTCCTCAAAAGACCTTTTCCACACCTTCCACCCTCACCAGTGGCTCAGCAAGATGTCTCCTCCAGTTCTGTTCTCAGTCCGAAGGTCTCATCATTCCAAATATTCCTATGCTAGGCTCTGTCTCCTCAGAATGTCCTTACTCCTCCCAACTTAAAGCTCTTATTTTCAACATAGAAATGGGAAATTGGGAGGGAGGCTGAGTTAGGGATACAGTAAGTGCTTTTATGACAACAGATGGAATTATTTTGGGGTCAGTGGGATGCCTGAGCTGGTAAGCAGTGATCTCCCTACCCAAGTACTTCTGAGTATCCCGTGTAGTGGGTGGAACTGGCCTAGAGCCAGGCCTACATGCTGTTGTTGCAGCAAGATCTGCAGGTGGTCCCCACTGGCCCACCCCACCATTCTGCTCCAGCATCACCTTCCACCTCAGCTGTGTTCATTCATCTCTTCCCTCTTTCCTTCCTCCCCTCCCTCTAGGCAGTGCCAGCAATGGCCACTAAGCACAAAGACAAATACCCTTGCCTGGCCCAACCATTCTTGAGCTTCCTAAGAGTGCCCGCCTGACCTGCATGCTGCAGGACTTGTGCTCCTTGGCAGATACCTCTCATTCCTCTCCTCTTAAAAAGAAAAAAAGGACTCAGATAAGAGAGTAAGTTAGGGCAAGAAGACTTGGAACTATGTGGATGCTAGATGTAAAGGAACTAAGTTGAAGGATTGCTACTAGAGAAGAACTGAAGGCACCAGGAGCCTGGGGGAGCTGTAAGAGCCTGTTGGTCCCCGGGAATGGGTTATAGGGCCAGGTGAGGCTGGTCTGATGGAGAAACTGTCCTTGGAAGGAGAATTCTGTTTCTGGTTGGACTCCTGTGTGAGTCTGCAGGACTGTGAAGAATCCATTTGACCAGAAGGCTAGTTTAAAATTAAACTCATTCTAGAGTGTCGTGGTATCAGCCTAGCTCACAGCAACCTCAAATTCCTGGGCTCAAGCGATCCTCCTGCCTCAGCCTCCTAAGGAGCTGGGACTAAAGGCATGTGCCATGCCTGGCTAATATTTTTTCTATATATATTTTTTAGTTGTCCAGCTAATTTCTTCCTATTTTTAGTGGAGATGGGTTACTGCTCTTGGTCAGGCTGGTCTCAAATTCCTGAGCTCAAACGATCCACCTGCCTCGGCCTCCCCTGTGCTAGGATTACAGGTGTGAGCCACCGTGCCCGGCCTCATTCTTTTTTCATACATTTCATTTCTGAGTCTTGAGCTCCAAACCAGCCCCTCCTACTGACTTTTCCATTTCCTCTATTCTCCTACACCCTATTACTGCTAGTCTCCTACGCCCAGACATAAACTGCAGGGTGATAACTCTGACTTTCCACACTTAATCAATTATTAAATTCTGAAAGTCCTTCACAAAACAGTTGCCTTTTGTTCTCACTTCCTCCACCTAGCGAAAGTGCCTGTTCCCATGCCTCAACTACTATAATCGCTTTCCAGCTAGTCCTGTCCTTCAGTCTGTCCAGAGCATCATGATTTATCTTTCAGAAGTAATCCATCACTTCATATATGATACTTTTACATTCAGTGCCTTCAGTAATGCTCTCCATTGCCTACCAAGTGCAGTACGACTCTGTTCTTTGGCTCAGGGCCTTTCCCAACCTGGCACCAACCTACCTTTATCTCCCAGAACATCCTAGTATGTACCTTTCACTCTGATCAAACTAGACTACTGACTATCCCTTGAAAACACTTTGCCCACCTCTTCACCTTTGCTCATGCTATTCTTTCTATCTGGGAGTGCCCCCTCTCCATTTAAAAATTATTTATTGAGCACTTTCTTTTTATTTTGAAAAATTTCAGACCTACAGAGAAATTGAAACAATAGTACAATAAATACCCTTATATCATACATCTAGATTCCACCAGTTGTTATTGCCATATTTCTTTCTTTTCTCTCTCTTATTTTCTGGACCCATTGAAAATAAGTTGCAGCCATTATTATACTTCACCCCTAAATATTTTTGTTTGTAGATCCTAAAAATAAGGACATTATCCTATCTAACCACAATATCCTTTTTTTAAAAAATTGATAAAATATACATAACATAAAATTTACTATTTTAATCATTTTAACATGTATAATTGTGGCATTAAATACATTCACAATGTTGTGCAACCATCACCACTACCCATTTTCAGAACTTTTTCATCATCACAAACAGAAACTCTGTACCCATTAAACTATAACTCCCCATTCCCCTCTGATAACCTTTATTCTACTTTCTATCTCTGTGAATTTGCCTCTTCTGGTTACCTCATATAAGTTGAAACATACATTATTTGTCCTTTTGTGTGTGGCTTATTTCACTTAGCATAATGTTTTCAGGGTTCATCCATGTTGTAGCATGTATCAGAATTTCATTCCTTTTTAAGGCTGAATAGTATTTCCTTCTATAGATATCCTACATTTTGTTTATCCATGTATCTATTGATAGATATTTGGATTGTTTTAACCTTTGGCTGTTGTGAATAATGCTGCCATGAACATTGGTTTACAAGTATCTGTTTGAGTCACTGCTTTCAATTCCTAAGAATGGAATTGCTGGGTTATATGGTAATTCTATGTTTAACTTTCTTAGGAACTGCCAAACTGTTTTCCATAATGACCAAGAAATAATAATGCAATGTTATTATCTAGACTACAGACCATAATTACATTTCTCTGAATATCCCTAGATTTTCCATTACAGCTATAAAAAAAATTTGATTCAGGATCAAATCTGGGATCACTGATTGCATTTGGTTGTCATGTTTCTTGATTCTTCTTGCCTTTTTGGATCTCATGACGCTGGCATTTTTGAAGAATCCAATCTAGTTGTCTTGTAGAATATCCCTCAGTTTGGGTCTGTTTGAATGTTTCCTTACAATTAGATTCACTTTAAGCCTTTTTGGAATAATACTACATAATACTACAAGAATACTATATAAGAATAATATATAACATGTTCCCCCTGTTTGTTGCATTATTTTAGTCATATAATGTTGCTTTATTCATTTGTTGGTAACACTGAGTTTATTTACTTGTTTAAAATAGTACCTGCAGCCGGGCGTGGTGGCTCACGCCTGTAATCCTAGGAAATTACTCTGGGAGGCGGAGGCGGGTGGATTGCTCAAGGTCAGGAGTTCGAAACCAGCCCTGGAGCAAGAGACCGCCCCTCTACATAATAAAGAAATAATGGCCAACTAATATAAAAAAGATAGCCAGGCAGGGGCACCATGCCGACCCTAGCTACCAAGCAGGCAGACAAGTTGCTTGAGCCCAGGGAGTTTGAGTCCTGTGAGCTAGCTATGCCCACAGGCACGCACGAGCCTTGGGCAACAAGAAGAACTCTCAAAAGAAAAAATAGTACCTGCAACTCGCATGCAAGGAACTCTTTTTTTTTTTGTTTTGTGAAGACAGATCACTTTGTGCACAGGCTAGAGTAGGCCCGTGGCGTCAGCCTGCCACAGCAACCCAAACCTCCGGCTCACCATCCTCTGCCCAGCCTCCCGATAGCTGGACTACAGGCAGCGCCCCATGCCCGCCTAATTAATATATAATTAGTGCCAATTAATCTTTCATAAGAAGCGGTCTGCTCCTTGCCGCTGGTTCAACCCGACTCCGACATCTCCCCGCCTCCCAGAGGGCAAGATACAGGCTGAGCCACCGCCCGCCCGGCCTGTCCAAGGAAACTTTTCCCCTTTAATACCAAATAAACGTTGGGGAAGTGAGACCTATGTTGAAGTCTCCCAAATTGCAGTCCCAACCAAGGTCCTAGCATCAACGTGAATCATGGCCTGATTTTATCATGTCTATATAATTATTTGACACAGAGTCTGCTATACACCAGATAGAAACAGGGCTATT